GATATTGAACTCTACTTCCCCCATAAAACCTACATAGTTAAAAATTCCTTTTAAGTGAAGTTACATTAATTTATTACAACTGACATGGTCATGATTTAATAATAATTGAAAGGAAAAAAAATATTTTATTGAATTTTTATACTACTGTTACTTTAGTGTATACTTTATTGTTTCACATTCAGTTTAGTATGTTTGAGACTTTGAGTTGCCTTTGTGCATGACCTTAGAGGGTCTTTAGCTTTTTGTTAGGCAACAAGGTCATATGATAATGATTAATACAATACTTAATTGTTTATTGACCACACCATTGATTACTTTATATATACAGATATAATAGTTGTCCTCGGATATACTTAAAAACTATAAACAAAACTCTGAAAAATATAGGCAATTTTTACACATCATATAAAGTACTATTTTTGGAATGCTTCATGATCGGTAAGTATTTGAATAGTTTTTTTTTTTTTTTTTTTTTTTTTTTTTTTTTAAATATTTATTCAAGTTTTAGATTTACATTATAATATAAGGTTACATGATAATACATATTATAAGAAAGTATATAAGGGGGGTTTACAGGGGAGGGGAGAGACTATAATTACTTGATCTAAGTATAATGGGTCAAATGTGAGAGTTTGGTTTTCCTATTTAGGTCTTCTTTTTACCCCCTTTCTGACTCTGTATGTATGTTTTGTAGTATTTGGTTTCCAGCTCAGAAAGGGGGGTTATACATAATTTTCTATCATTGAATTTATAAGATTCCATTTTCTGTCATGCAATTCTTCTTGTCCATGTGTTTTTGCAATATATTTGTCAGCCTTCTTTTCTCTTATTAAGTATCTTTGAAAAGCATTTATGGTAGGTGTTTTTTCTTCCAATTTATTAATATACATGAATCTCTTTATGAGTAAGGTTGCTAGGTTTTGGCTGAGAGACAATCTTGGAGATCCTAACATAAAAGCTTGGTCATCAGGTATCTCTTCATTCAGGATTCTGTAGCATTGTTGTTTGAAATCTTCCATCACTTGGCATTTCAGGAAACCATGTTCTATATCGTCTATTTGGTTGCTATTGCACAGTACGCATGTTTGGGTTTTTACTTTTTTCATTTTGAAAAGTATTTTTCTGAAGTATATTGCCCTATTTAGTATCCTATATTGAAAATATTTCATTTTCGTATCTTTTGTCAGTTTGTTTATTAGATTATATATTTTTTTCCATTCTATGTCTTTTTGAAAGTAGTCTCTCCATTTGGTTTGACCTGTAGGGGTCTTTTGCTTGAACTTTTTGCTGAGCTTTTGGTACGTTTTTTTATTGTCCCATGTTTTTAATCTCTCAATATTATCTTCGTCATCTTGTAAGTTGGTGTTTGCCATTAGGGTTTTCCACCTTGGTGGTATGCATCTTATAACAGTGTGGTAGTTGAGAAAGGTCTGGTTTTGTAAATTATATTGATTTCTTAGTTGATCATAACTTTTTAAGTGACCATTTTGGTATAAGTGTTTAATTCTTGTTATACCTTTCCTTTCCCATTCTTTATTTTGAAGCGGGTTTTTGTTTTGCTTTATACATTCATTGTTCCATATGATTTCATTGGAGGGGTTGTCAATATCCTGTTCTTTTATATATTTTACCTCATGCCATATTTTAAGAACTTCATCCAAGCTTTTCAAATTAGTTGTAATTACATCAGACTTGTAAGGGTTTTCAATGTTATACTCTAAAATGTTATTGTCTCTGTTTTTGTCTAGTTTGCTCATCCAGATTCTTTTCCACTTACTGTTGCAATCTTCATCTTTTAGTTTACGCAGCCATTTTAGCTTTAGGTTTTTTGCATACGATTCAAGGTGTGTCATATCTAGTCCTCCTTCTTCTGTTGTTCTCCTAAGCGTTGCTCTTGCAATTTTGTCATTTTTATTTGACCATATAAAGTTGTAGAGGAGATCTTCTAGGTCTTTTAATGTGTTGTCTTGTGGTATTGGAACTGTTGTCAAAACGTATGAAAGTTGGGACTGAATTAAGGACTTTATTACACATATTTTACCAACTGGCGTTAGAGATCTTTCTTTCCATGTTTTAATTAAATTCTTAATCTTCTGTATAGGTTTTTCTAAGTTGGCTTTCCCGATAGGTCTCCCATCCAATGGAATTGTAATTCCCAGGACCTTGATTTCTGTTTTTTCTAGTTTTGTGCCTACCTCATTGCATATGTTTTCTGCCTCTGCTGTTATTGCTCTGGTACTTTCTCCTAGTATACCTATCTTTGTTTTTTCTTTATTTATCTTTAGTCCTGAAACTTTACCAAATCTTTCAAGCATGTCTATGGAGGGTTTAATTGATGCTTTGTCATTTAGGTACAACACTGTGTCATCGGCATACTGTGACACCTTACAGTTCACATTGTCTATATCAATGCCTTTTATGTCTTTTGTTGCTCTAAGTGCAGTACTTAGTATTTCGGCACACATAATAAAAAGATAGGGGCTTAATGGGCAGCCTTGACGTACTCCTCGTTCAATGTTTATGTAATTTGATGTATATCCGTTGTTGATGATAGTGCTTGTGTTGTCTTTATATATTGTTCTTATCCAGTTTGTTATTCGTTCTCCAAAGTTAAAGTATTTCATAGTTTTATAGATAAAGTTATGTTCTAGTGTGTCAAAGGCTTTTTGAAAATCTATCATCATTACTATACCATTCCTGCCTTCTTGTTCAAGTCTTTCATTTGTATCTATGAGAAGCCTTATGTTTTCCCCTATGTATCTGCCTTTAAGAAAACCAGTCTGGTCTGTGTTTATGACTTTTTCTAGGTTGCTTTTAATTCGGTTAGCAATTGTTTTAGTAAGAATCTTGTAATCTGTGTTTAAAAGTGTAATTGGTCTCCAGTTTTTCAGTTTTGTGGCATCTTGGCCCTTTTTTGGTATGATTGTAATTATTCCGCGTCTTTGTTCTGTAGTTAATAGACCGTTTTCAAGAGAGAAGTTATAGCTTAGTATTAGTGTGTCTTTGATCTCTTTCCAGAAGTGTTTATAGAACTCTACTGGAATACCATCTGTTCCAGGTGACTTTTTATTCTTCATATCTCTAAGCGCTAGTACTAACTCTTCCTCTGTTAGATCTTGGTCACATTTTTCCTTGTCATATTCATTAATTGTTGTAATATTTCTTACTTGTGGAAAAAAAATGTCGTCATACTCATTTAGATTGTTTTTGGTTGCTTCGTAGAGCTTGCTGTAGAAAGCTGCTTGTTCCTTTGCTATTTCAGCTTGTGTTTCCACGCTTTCACCATTGTCTTTAATAACCTTTGACATTGTTCTGTTGTTGAAGTTTCGCTTTTCAAGTTTCAGAAAATAAGATGTTGGTTTTTCTCCTTCTGCTATCCATTTTGTTCTGCTTCTGAAAATTGTTGCTTCTGCATTTTGTGTATTTATTTGGTCAATGTCCTCAATTATATCCTGTAATTCGCGGTTTAGAAGTTCTTTCTGTCTTATTTCATTTGCATCTTTAATTTTATTTTCAATTTCTTTTGCCTTACTTTCCTTTAGTAGTAGGTCTGTATTTGTTTTCTTTTACTGAGCCTTTGAGTACTCAATCGACACTTTTCTAATGTTGTATTTTGTTAGTTCCCATATTCCATTCGGGTTCAAGTTGTTCCTTTGTTTAGTGTTACAGATTGTTGCTTTAATTAGATTATCATATTCAGGTTCTCCTATATATCTGGCATTCATTTTCCATATTCCTGGACCTCTTGGCTGATCTAGAAGTTTAATACATATAGAAATTAATTCGTGATCTGCTATTTTGTATTGGTTCCCTGGGGTTCTTTCTATTGCTGTCTGTTCCGTGTTCTGTGCTAGTTCATGGCTTACTAGAAAATAGTCTAATCGGCATTTTATTGTGCTATTATGATTTTCCCAAGTATACACTTTGGAGTTTGGATTTTTAATTCTAAATATGTCTATTAATGTACATTCTTCCTGGAGATTTAGGATTTGCGCTCGTGTCTTTTTATGGCTTGCTATGTTTCCTCCTTCTTTATCTAAGAGTGGATTGAGTGGCACATTAAAGTCTCCTCCACATATCGGTTGGTAGTCCCGGTTTTGTTCAAGTTTTTCCATGAGTTCCTCAAAGAGCTTACTTTCGTCATGGTTATGTCCGTATACATTTATTAATATTACTTTTTTACCTGCTATTTTACATTTGACAATGATATATCTGCCGTTTTTGTCAATTTCATTGTCTATAAGCTCAATGTCTGCTTTTTGTGAAAATAGTATCGCTACACCTACTGTTTGTGTGCTAAATTGGGTGAAGAATGCTTTAAAACCCCATTCAAACTTCCATTGGACTACTTGTTTCGCTGCACAATGTGTTTCCTGTAGAAACATTACATCAAACTTCAGTCTCCTGGTCATGTTGAAAACCTTTCTTCTTTTAACCTTATTTTGTATACCTCTCACATTTATTGACCCTATTTTAAGTGATACCATTTATAACATATTTTATTTGTAAAATTTTATGCTCTCCCAGTCCCCTGTACGCCCTTACATCGTTATTAATTGTTAAGTCGTAGGCGAGGTCGAGGAAAAAGGGGGTCCCACTAGATGGGTACCGCACCCCTGCATACAGTATTTGAATAGTTATGGATTGGATCCAATGGATTGGATTGGATTGGCTTGGTTTCCTGTACATCTTGCACCTTCCATTTTGCTATCCCATCGAACGAAGTGGATTGGATCAAGAATTTTTAAAACATGAGATTCTCATAGTTTACTTTCAAGCTCAAATTCAAAAGTATTAGAGTTATATACCCCAAATGGGCTCCTCAACAATACTGACTGTTCACATCAGAGATCAATAATAAAGCGTTCATGAAATTCCATATTTTATAAGTTACTGATCCAATCCAAACCAATCCACCTTTTACATGGAATTCGAACTAATCCACTTGATCCAATCCCAGGTAGCTTTTCCCATAATTCTCATGTTTTGCCTGTCTCCAGGGTAACATAACTTCACTGTCAAGGAATCACAATGCCATGGAGCTTGGAGCAGAATACAACAAATCTGTAGACAACAACAATGCAGAAGTCAAAGTTGTAGGGACATATCAATCATACAACCAGGGACAATAGCATATTCAGTCAAAGATAACAACCAATTTTATTAGATATGGTGACACATTAAGACAATAGCACTCATCTGGTATATTCTCTGTGGTATATTCATTCAAAGTCAAGACAATGACACATTCAAAGTCAAGACACTAACATATTTACCCTTTGCAATTGTTCAACTTCGCTTCTTCTTCGCAGGGTATAGCATATTCAATTTTATAGTTACATTCAATTCTAGAGACAATGAAATGTTTAATTGGAGATACATGTGCTAATCAAGTAATTGTGTAATCAATTAGCAACAATATCCAATTTATTTAAAATAAATTAGGGACCATGAATCATTCAAGAGACAATGACACATTCAAACTAAGGACAATGACACATTCAAGGGACAATGACACATTCAAACTAAGGACAATGACACATTCAAACTAAGGACAATGACACATTCAAACTTAAGACAATGACACATTCAAACCAAGGACAATGACACATTCAAACTTAAGACAATGACACATTCAAACCAAGGACAATGACACATTCAAACCAAGGACAATGACACATTCAAACCAAGGACAATGACACATTCAAACTTAGGACAATGACACATTCAAACTTAGGACAATGACACATTCAAACTAAGGACAATGACATATTCAAACTTAGGACAATGACACATTCAAGGGACAATGACACATTCAATTAGGGACAATGACACATTAAAGGGACAATGACACATCCAATTAGGGACAGGGACACATTCAAACTTAGGACAATGACACATTTAAGGGACAATGACTTATTTAAGGGACAATGACACATTCAATTAGGGACAATGACACATTAAAGGGACAATGACACATTCAAACTTATGACAATGACACATTCAAACTTAGAACAATGACACATTCAAGGGAAAATGACACATTCAATTAGGGACAATGACACATTAAAGGGACAATGACACATCCAATTAGGGACAGGGACACATTCAAACTTAGGACAATGACACATTTAAGGGACAATGACTTATTTAAGGGACAATGACACATTCAATTAGGGACCATGACACATAAAAGGGACAATGACACATTCAAACTTAGGACAAGGACACATTCAAACTTAGAACAATGACACATTAAAGGGACAATGACACATTCAAACTTAGGACAAGGACCCATTCAAGGGGACAATGACTCATTCAATATGGGACAATGACATATTCAACTTGGGTCGGGACACTAAAATAAAAATAATTCAAGACTTTATTTGAATAAAGTAGAACTTTCATATATGCCACACTGGCATCCTTGCTGCAAGGGTATTTTACAAGTATATGAATTTAGGCATAAATTAAGTCCTTCGAAGAAGGATGCACACTGGCTTTATATAGAACATCTAGTTCGAACCTCCAAACTACATGACATGTAAATAAATCAAAAATTTGCAATTTTTATTTTAATGAAAATTCTCTTTATTTTCAACAAAACTTGTACAAAAATGAATTTAACAGGACTATATAATATAAACGATTATTTATTGCAATATTTTGATTATACGCAAATTAATCTCATTATATTTATTTCATTACAATACTCTTAATGCTTAAAGGCCCTGTGTAAAGTTTAAGCCAACTTGGTTTTTGCAGTACTTCTCATGGGGCCTTTCAGAAATTAAACAAGTTAAATGAGATCCATCATGATGGAAAAAATATATACAGGCAATTATAATTACAATGTATGTGTACATTGCACTTCAGAACATGATTACAGGGTGTTTCATAATGACCAGTCTCCAACAATCACCAAACCAAGATGGCATACATCCGCATGTTATATATCATATGAAAGCTGGTTTATTAAGGAAAATGGTGACTACCAAACATAAGTTCACAAAGTATGTTCCCAATGATCAACCATGCTAATATTTGGCCAAGAAGTCTTAAAGCTTTATTCTGATAGATTACAGGGCCATGTTATCTACATGTAGGATTGGCTTTGGATGGGGAACGGTCATTATGAAACACCCTGTATTGCATGTATATATGAGCAAACAAAAATCACAATATGGTATTTTATTTACAAGTACAATTTTATATGAATTTGTATGTAACAATAGAATAAATAAATTAATATTTTTGATTTTAATGAATTTCACGTGTGTTAGTTTCTATACATAGAAGTAGTCATCTTTCATTCTAAAAAGGCTGAAAATGGTTTTTAGCTGAGAATTTAGAAATTCACAGTTCAAAAATCAAAAATTCAGTCATCCAGAAATCTGTTTCATTGAGTCATGTCATTAATGAAATTGACTGAAATTGTGTAGAATTACTAAACATTTGAGCTTGCCCCTATATGAGTTGAGCCACATTCTTTTAGTCTCCTTTTTTACAAAAAAAATGATTTCCGTGATTTACCATGAAAAGTGCCTGTTGTTTTCAGGAATTTTCCAATTGTTCAAATGTTAAAATTACAATTTGCAATAGTTAATAGTAATGCCTGTTTTTCATTTGTTTCACCTTTAATTATCAATAATATTTCTGGATGATAATAAATGCCTTTGTTTCTTAGTTCTTTCTCCACTTTTTATGAAACATTTTACTGTATTCAAGGGCATTCAAGAGATTTAAATAATCACAAATACTGTACAATCAAAGAGTTTCTGTTAGCCTAGTGATCACTTAATTCTATCACAATGGAGAATTATGAAACAAGGCAGTAACGTCACAAATGCCACCACACGGTAAGTCATTGTGAACGGTTGTTATTACATTTAACATTGAATGACACCAAATAATGTTCACAAAAAATGACATACTGAACTATATTTTCACTTTTCGCTTATGAGAAGTCACCTACCGCAGAAATTAATTATTAAAAAAAGTTTCAGAAATTCAAAAAATTAAAAATAAGTGAAATATTATAACAGCTCACATCCACAATGTTTTTACATACAAAATACTAGCCTATCAAATGAGTTGTACGAACATTATTTTCAACTGACTTTTATATGACATCATATCACACATTTAACCCTTCTATAACATTAAATGCATGTTGTTATTACAACTATAATTTACCCATGACATACTACTACTGTCAGGCCTGTAGCCAGGATTTGCAAAGGGGAGTAACGGGTTCACTTTTTGAAAATTTCCAGGGGGGTTCACTTTTGACAACTTTGGTCCAAAAATGGCCAAAATCACTTAAAATGAGCTAAGAATGATGAAAAACTGCATCATTTTGAAAGAACTTTTGGCCAGGGAGGGGGGTTCGCTCGAACCCATTGAACCCCCCCCCCCTGGCTACAGGCCTGACTGTTGCCGAAGCAATCAATCATGTTTGATGCTCATCAGATATGAAATAGTATAACTATTAGCTATTACTAAGGAATGATTGAAAACAGTTTCAAATATACAGTACGTTACATGTATGTTACACCTATGAAATAAATATCTAATTTCACATTGAACTGTTGAAAAGCACCAGTAACCTTTGTCGTGTTTTATCCTTTCCAAAAGGTACGCCATTCCTTTGTTAATTTGATTGTACAAATAAGCTTTCCTTTCCAATGGTAGGGTCCATTCCAATCACAGAGGTATGTATTTGACAAGGCCTTTAACAAATTTATTTTAGTTGTTGCTGATTTGCTGGCATGATTTGGCACCAATAATATTAATACTATATCATGTATATTGCATAACTATACATCCCTTTCTAGTGCTTTGATTGACTCCACATTGGAGATTGGCTAATGCTGCTATTTTCCATCGCTATAGTAACGTTTCTTAAGGGTCCTGTACTTCCTGAGCATATAAAGAGCCTCTAATTCTTTGATTATATAATCACCTCTTGCAAGATAGATTTCAATTTTAGCAGGGTCCTTTTCATCTTTGTTTTTCATAAATGCAATTTTAAGCTTCTCGCGGAAATAGTCATAGCCTTTCGGGTACTCTCTCCCAAGATGGAGTAGCTGAAAATATAAAATTTTAATAATAAAGATCTTCACTAGTTCACTCAGAGTACATAAAACAATGAATTTTAACTTGGGGAGGGGGAGAGGGATGTTCGCCCAAACCCCCTGGCTCCCGAACTCCATGCATCCTGGCTATGGGCCTGACTACTGTATGTATTCCATAAGTATAGGATATCCAATGATTTTGAGTGATAAAATTTTTATCTGTGAGCTGATATCAATATCGGGGTGAGTGAGCGTGGAGAATGAGTGCAGATATTGATATCACTGAGTGAATTAAAATGATATCAGTGATATCCCAAGGATTTTTTCTCAGGTGGGTGCAAAATTCCCTTTTCACAAATTAGACCAATTTTTCATAATTTTTCTCATTTTCAAGTGGGTACAAATTGATTTTCATGTGGGTGCAGGCCTGTTTTTAAAATCTGAGGTGGGTGTGCTGCGCCCACTTGCTTTAATACTGGGGAGATCACTGATATCACAAAAATTCATATGATGTTCTATTCATCCCAATAGTTCACCTATAAAACTAAACCAAGCATTTCAAAACACCTTTCATTCATTTATCATGTGATGTCATGAAATCACCACATAACAATATATATACATCACAATTGGCGTCACAATGGCGGTAGTTTCTAAATCCTTGAAAAAGTGATATCTGTGGAATATTCTCTGTATTCCACAGATACAGTATTACTTTTTCTACACATCTGCAAAATATCATAGGAAATATATGTTTTTTGGGATGATATTTATATGATAAATATATAAAAAGTGATATCTGTGGAATATTCTCTGTATTCCACAGATACAGTTTTACTTTTTCTACACACCTGCAAAATATCATAGGAAATATATGTTTTTGGGATGATATTTATAAATATACAAATAAAGTCTGAAAAATATAAGCCATTTCATTGAATATTTGAAATTGTTATCACAAAAATTACAAGAAAATTGCTATAAAATTACATGAAAATATTCAGCATGCAGAACTCTCATTTATGAATGACTCTTAAATTATCATCTGAAGGACAGTCAAGTTAATTGTTTGTGTGAATGTGTGTATGAATGTTCAATGTTACACCTCGTGTGTGTGATCCTTAACACCTGTTTCCTCTAGTCAGATTGACTGATGAAGCAACCTTTTTGGGGGGGCTGATGAGTTGGCCGAGTGGTCTCGATCGAGCACTGAGTGTGCTAAGCAAGACACTGTCACCATAAACATGAGGTCATGAGTTTGAGATGCGGCAGCGTGAGCTCCTTGAATGTATTCATTTTAAGTTTGTATTTGCTCATTTAAAGTTGATACTTACATTCTTATATAACTGTGTAACCCTTGACCTCGCTGAAGCCATTTTTCAGTTTCACAGTGAGTCAGTAGACCCCAACCCTAGTGGAGGTAGGTAGGGGGTATCACAGTAGTGGTCTGACTTCTCAACTTCTGACGAAAAGTCTGATCTCACAATAAATCTGCCTTGTTGAACGAAATGCTAAATGCTCTGCTTTGTTTTTGTGCAATTCTACTTTGTTTATTTATTGAACTGTATCTACAAACAAGATGAAACAAATTATTAAAGATTGTCACTGGTGTATAAAATTTAAGTCCCTTATAGCTAGCCATACAACAATCAGATATTGTCTGGCTTTGTCCCTTTGGTCAGAATTTGTCTGCGGTTGTCCACCAGACAATGTTTGACATTCTCCTGTTCTGTCAAATGATGTAAAGAGTACAGCGCCATATTGTCAGAATATGGTCACATGATCGTCATGTGATAAAATGGCCTTGATACATGTATGTCTGATATATTTAATGCTTATTATTTCATCGGTCATAAACAGACAAAACTGGAAAAAATGTATAATATCTGGCGGACAATGGCAGATAACATCTGACAAAATAGGATAACGACAGACTTGTCCATGGATGTCCAATGAAAATTTCTAGACTTGTCCGTTCATGTCAGATGAAAATATTTTTTACTCTCAATGCATTGGCTTTCTATTGAATGCCCATGGTACATGTAACTCCCATGATGTCTGATAATGCATTGGTGTACGGCTAGTCTAAAGTGCTCATTCAGTCTAAGAGAAGAATTAGATTATGAAACTTTCATTCGAGAGCTCACAGCTCTTAAAACAATGCCAGAACTACGGTGTGGACTTATAAAAAGTGTGAGTTCGAGCAGAGCCCATGAAATTGTCAAATATGTAACCCCTGCAATTTTTTGAAACTCGACCAAAAGCTGAAGGGCCAGGATAATGTTGATAAACAAGTGGAAGGAACTAAGAAATCTGACAGTATTTAAAAATTTGAAAAAATAAATGAACATGAGTGAAAGTCAAAAGTAGATCTAAAAAAATTCTTGAAAAAAGCACACATATAAAATGTTGATTTTCGATGTTTATGAGTTATTTCATGGATTCAATTGATGTATCTTGCTTACCTGAATTGGTTTACGTGCTCGGTATCACATGTTGATCTTTAATAAGTTGCAGGATGACGGAAAACCGGTGGTTTCGTAAACAACTTGTTTATCCAGTTTTATCCAGTACCGTAAAGTAGTTTTCGGTCAGTGCGACCGTTTACGACATTGTGTTTACTTGCTGTGTTGGGTTGCGGCATTTTAATTGTTTTAATTAACAATTGTGGGATAGGAGTACCTCTTTATAAATGCCTTGTATATATTCCCAAAGATCAATTAAATTCTGCTCAACCCTGGCTCAACCCAATCTGTCGTGAAACGTGTTGTCGTAAGTCAGTCGTTTGCCAAGAATAAAAAAGCAAAAACAAATTCCACAATATTCTCTAAATATCTCATGAATAAGGCGACCGTTCGCAAATAATCTTACTTATTTTAAGAATAAGAATACACAGCTAAATTTACTGGGAAAATCATTTCTCTCGTTGCACAGGTAAGCTTTTAAAATTGGTCAGTAGAAAAGATAAATTTGTCCATGGGCATTCAATCTACAAAAGGCTAGGTAACAAGATATTTTTGAATTAAGAAATATAGACCGAAAAGCAGGGGTTATATCGTAGAATACACCCCGCAGGGCTAGGCACAAAAGTTTTCTGTACCCCGAACGACCGAAGGGAGTGAGGGGTTCGGAAGCTTTTGTGCCTAGCCCCAAGGGGTGTATTCAACGATATTACCCCTGCTCTGAGGTCTATATTACGATTCGAACATGAAAACTCACCAAATTGTTTCGAATATTCATCATGGTCCGCCATTACTCGACCCACCGTTATGACGTCACACATTACACGTATTAACTGGGATATTGATCTCGAATATAACCCAGTTGAAGCAATTGACTTTGTTTACAGTTTATAGAAGGCGTGAATACAGTCATGTTCGAATCCAATATAATTACGATTGCAAGGAATTTAAATCACTAAAATAACGTTCAGTGACAACTTACACTTCTTCTGAATGAAGACTAGATTATAATGATCCTAGCAACTTTGGCCATAAGAATTAAAAATTTTGACCAGATGTCTACAGTAATATCAGTATTCAATAGGTCCTTTTAGGCCCATCAGTCCCAATTAAGGTTACATTATTGAAAATCATCTCATCAAATATACATTTTCAGACAATGGCATCATCGGGTGAAGGGGGAAGTGGTGATAGAAGAGACCAACCCCGTTCTATGCAGGGTCTGCTGAACTTGGCCATTGAGGCTGGAGCACCAAACCAGCAAACTTCAGGAGCAGCTCCTACAGATGCTATGTCTCAAGAGGTGTGTTAAATAATTACAATTAACAAAATTAAAAAACATTGAGAGTGCAGTGTTCAGATAGGAAATTGGATCTTCAAATATATTTTGCCAAAAAGTATTCAATCCGAGAATTTGTTCTATTCCAGTTTTAAATAATCTGCTCTTTGTAAAAACTGTCTAATCTGAACAACAGTTGGAATGTCTAAAAGTGTGCAGATTTGCAAGTGTTTAGATTTCAAAGTTTGTAACATTTTAATTCAATGGCAGAATTAAAAAATGGAACCAAATAGTGTTCATGTGTGGAAATTAGTGAGGTGTTCATAATACCAATTTTACTGTTCATGTAAATGCCAATCTTTTACTGTACATGTACATGTCAATCTTTAAATGTACATGTACATGCCAATTTAAACTACCAATATGGAGTTTGGTAGCTGAAATGCTATAACGCTTGACTTATAGTATATTACATATACTAAAGAAATTGCATATATTAACAACAAAAACAAAAGAGAAATGGCTGGGTTGGCCATAATTCTCCTTTAATTAATGTTCCATTATTTTTGTTCATGAGTAATAACTGGTTTTCAATCTACTACATTAAATATTATTTTAGCATCACACAAGTTGCGATCAACAAAATGATTGGGTGCTGAATAAGCACTGGTCAGAAAACTAACTTTTTAATCGTTTATAATTCAGATTCATTATTGTTCACCTCTCTTTTGCCTCAAGCAATGTTTTATTGCACTCGAAACATTATAGAAATCAACATTTTTTCATTTGTTTCCAGCGCAGAACATTTCTGAATGAGGCTTTATCACAATTCACTGTAGACTTTGCAAAACAAATGACAGAATATCTCCAAATCCTTGCATCTGATGAACATGACCTGGAAGTAAAGATTCACTCACTAGATCAACTAACGGAGATTACAGAGGATATCAACAATGCTCAAGGTATGTAAATGAAGCTTTGGAATTAAGGCAGAATCAAATCTATTAAGGGAACCCCCTGCCCAAAAATTCATTCAAAATCGTGCAAATTTTCACCATTCTGAGCACTTTTCAAGTGACTGGGGCTAAAATTGTCAAATGTGAACCCCCTGGAATTTTTTTAAAAGTGAACCCTCCTTGGCAAAAGCTGGTTATGGTTGTACTGTATTTTCACTTCTGTTTATTACACATCAAGGAGGATTTGCAGCCATTATTCAAACTCGATACTCCATTGCCTGCAGTGGAACAATTTGGTAAAAATATTTCAATAAGGTTCTCCTTAGACCAAGTATATTGTAGAAAGATGGTCATTACAAATATTATGGTAGTATTCCAGCTTCCTTGGTACACGTAGTTCTAGTCTTCAAAATATGAGTAATATTGTTCAGATTTGTCTATGCCAGGCAACAGAGTATCAAGTTTGAATAACGGCTTCCAATCCTCCTTGAACACACATGAATAATGCATAATGTGTAACCCCGGGAAATGTGGGTAGCCCAATCACAATCATTACAATGGGGAAACCTCTGCAAGAATTTGTGTCAATTTACGAATTGAAATTTGTTGTCATATTATAGTTTAACTCTTATAGGCAGTATATTTGGAATACAAGATGCTCAACAAAAATTACAATATATAGTGCTCAACACAAAGCATATAAAATTTGGAAAATAAAGACAGATAAATATGCAATACTAATAAAAGTACATGTAGTAACATATAACCATCCACACATTTCCACTTAACATATTTTTTATTCCAGATTTTCACAAAGTTGGAGGCTACACATTACTACCATCCTTGCTCCAACACAATGAGGCAGACATTAGATGGCGCTCTGCAGATCTCATTGCATCCCTAGTTCAAAATAATCCATATTGTCAAAAAGAGGCTCTGAATACTGACCTTGACCTAGTGACCTTGTTACTACGGATACTAGATGGGGATGACAATAACCAAGCAAGAATCAAAGCACTCTATGCACTGTCATGTGAGTCTGTTTGTTTCAAATAATATGGGAATCGGTAAAAGCAATTTTTTCTATAATTTTGCTCTGTCAAGATTTTAAGCAATAAAGTGAAACTCTATCATGTCTGTGTTGAAACTACAACATTTACGTATAAACCAGGTCTAACATGCTACATTTGTCAAACATGTCCAGATACAGAATAAACTTAACATGCTTTACATATTATATGATACTGTTTCAGGTTTATGTCGAGAAAATGAAGAAGCCCTAGATATATTCTCGCAGAAAGATGGATTCTCAACATTAGTGAGGGCCATGCAAAGTGGCATCCAACGCTTACAAACCAAGGCAGGCTTCCTACTCAGCTCTCTTCTTATTTCACATCCAAAAGTAAAAGGTGAGACTTATGAAAATTTTATATCAACGCAGGAATTCACCCGCAATATTCCCCTTTATTAAGCATTGATTTTACAGGATAGAGTGTCTTTTGTCTTTGAGTTAAAATTAAAACTAACGTCCACCCTACGTTATTGAATTCTAATTTTCCAAAAAAACTCTCAAATGCACATTGATGAATATCTTCCACTGAAATGAGTTTTAATTACTTATAAGTTATAAATAATGTAATCATGTTATGATAAAAGTTATACAGTCAAAAATAGGTTATTTAGGTGGTGATATATTGTTATCGTCTGGCATTTGTAACAAATGGTAGATGGTGACATTTTGCATCTTAACGCCTTGTTAGTCATGGTATGAAAGGTTGTCTCCTGTAAACTGAACTAACTTTTCTTTTTTCAGATACATTATGTAATATTGGAATGGTCGATCAATTAATAGGACTTTTACAGTCTGAACATAATAGTTCACATGAATATCTAATGGGGGCGCTGCTAGGTCTCATATCCCATCATGACAAAGCCATAGAACAGTGCCAGCGGGAACCACTGAATTTCAAAGAATTTCTGATACTGAGAATAGATGAAATAAAACCTTTTGAAGAATTTCAGGTTTGTATCCAATGCCAATCCTTCACAATTTTTTTTCAAATTCAATGATGGAAAAAGTTTGTGTGTGGTTCCATTTTTAAAACAAAGAGGTAAAATCACAAAATGCTCATGTAAAATGATAATTTTTGTTGTGCTAATCTAAAGTGAGTGGTGAAAGTAACTTCTTATTACGATAGAGTTCTAAGAAGATTTGAAAATAGGTGCTTTCGTCGAAATCTTTACATTCCCCGTGATGCCATTTTCTACACAAATCGGCTTGCATGATTGTCAAAGCAAGAAATTCAGAAATTCTTTTCGGAATCAACTTTTACATTTTATAAACCTGAATATTTTACTAAGAGTTTATCATAACATAAGTAATATTGTGGTCTCCATTATATTAAAGCCATATTTGGTAACGTACATGTACATCATTGTTTTTTCATTGTTTCTTTCCAGGAAGAAAAAGACTATGCAGAACAACTATTAAAAATCTGTTTTGGTAAACAAAATGCAACTGTGGATAGGTAACACAGGTTGAAAGAGACTATGGGATGCAGTTTCAGTATGGGACACCAAGCTCTATGTATTTTCAAATACAAATACAAATCGGTTCATAGAGACATCAGCATTAGTGGAATTGAATGAAGTGTCTTTAGAATAAAATGTGCAGCCTAAGTTGGGGATTTGGGCATAAAGCACCTGTTCAATTGTTGAAATAAAAAAATTACGGATACATATAGATTGTTACTCAGTTTTGAATGGTGGATGAACTGAATTCATCAAATGTCATTAACCATAGCTCACATGAAATTATGTCCACGGTCCACATTTATGATGAAAATCATCTTTTGTGATGATACAGAATGTAAGCCTACATGCTCAAGATCATGTAAAATAATTGTGACATGGAATAGACAGTCCAGGGTCCAGTCCAGCGGGGTTCACTTTGACAACAAATTCACATGAAAATTGATCAGAATCATGAAAAACTGCATGATTTTGAAAGAAATTTTGGCAAGGGGGGTTACCACCTGAACCTCTGGAACCCCACACCCTGTCTACATCCCTGAAGCCAACCCATCGTCTCAGTTGATCAATATAGCATTGGGTTAAACCAATCTTATGTGAAGATTGGAATTAAATTTGGTAGCAGGTACAGTACAGTTCAATCTATGATTGTGTGCAATGGAGTGAAAAATAATGGGAAATCTGATCAAAAATGTTTAATTGAAATATATAAATCGTAAACTTTTATACATTTATTTATGAATGAATAACAAAATAAATAAAACTGTGTTAAAATGAGATTAAATGTCAAGTTTATTCAATGTAATAAACATATTACAAATGAAACAAATAACAAATGGTAATTTTACATTGTTTATATCCCTAAATATGTAAACAACTTGGTTCAGATAATTAGATTACCTGATTGTTGTTGTTCACATAGGCAGGGTTAACAGCTTTATTTAAATAATATTTTAAAGCTAAAAGGCATTATATTTATAGGATATCCTATGATTTTGAGGAATATCATTTTTATCTACGAGGTGATACATTGTATTGATATCTGCACTAGAGAGCAAAGCGAACGAGTGCAATATCAATATCACCGAGTAGATTAAAATGATATTCTGAAAAAAAATCATAGGATGTTCTTATTATCCTACACCTACAACAAGGAGTGTACTAAATGTATAATATTATTGCAAAATGAATTTCATGCCAAATAGAGTCAATTTGGCGGGAAATCAACAAGCGGAGTATATCGTCACAATATCCTCGGCATATTGGGTTTTCCGAAGTATATCGTCATGATATCCTCCGCCCAGAGTATATTATCACAATATCCTCCGGTTATTCATTTTGCAAATAGATATCAAATTTATTTTTTAATGTTATTATACATTTAGTACACTAAGTGTAGGATAAGTGATGATACATTCCATTGTTACAGTAATACATTAAATTCCTAACCCCAAAAATCCCTTTCCAGCCACTAGCTGATAAATACATTATCCATAACCCTGTGCTTACAATTTCAAATATCGAAAGATATACTTCGATCTTAACCAAATGTTTCATCATTAAAATTCAAAGCGTTTGAAATTAGAGCTGAATTATTTTATTTCTGGTTGGTTCCAACGTCCTACGATATTGAAATCGAACACAATTTCTCAAGTATTCGCTTGATACGAGTATGGGTATACTGAGTTGTATAAGGATACGATTGAATGAATTCAGGCATTCTGCTTGTAGCAACCCTTAAGAAAAAACGCTTGTTTTCTCCTCATGTGGTTAAAAGATGACCTTTTTTAACTACATTTTTACCACTCAAGATATGTTTAAGTGTGGTTGTGGTCACCTGTTTTGACACTCATAAAAGTGTGGCCCCCGCTGGTATTTCTTCCACACTTGCAAGAAATATCTCCCCATAGTTTCTCCTCATAATGAGAAAGTGTGGTTAAGGTGTTACTGAATCTATGGAGGAGCAGGACATTAACTTTAATATGATTTAAGGTTACCATATTGTCAATAGGGGTTAAAAGGGTTAATGCTTGATAAATATATTTTGGGATTTACTGTACATGATAAGTCTGTTATTCCTGTTATTCTGGTATCTAAATTGTTTCATGAATCTTTTTCATCATCGAGCAAATATTTTATTAAACATATGTGACAAAAATGAGAATGTTATATATTGAAGCATGAATTATTTGTCTCAATTATTTTTGATTTATTGGTGTATATTTTAATCTTTGATTATCCCAGAGTTTAATCTCTACAGGATATTTCAGTGAAACGCCTCGATTTGTGGAAACTAGTGACCTAGGAAAGTGAACTGTTGACAATACCAATCAATCAAATTTCAATATGCTCTCATACCAATTAATTTGTACAATATTATTGGCAGTTACATGTGAATAACACCACAAAGCCATACCAAATGTCAAATAGGGACCCAATACCAAATTAAATGTCCAAATATAGGACCAAATATCTGGGAAACAATCAAAATCAACCTCAATTTTTATTCACTATCAAAGAGGATGATGTTTGAATATGACTATTCACCGTTCATTGAAGGCTGCTTGGCACCTTTCACCTGACTGTGACCAATCACAATTCTGCAATAAACTTTGTAAAATATATAAAAAGTGTAAGCACTGGAGATTAATAACAGTGAATAAAATGAGTATTTGCTATTCATACCAAGGTTAAGATTAGAGTCTATTGCCAAAGTAGGTTGGGTTGTTCTATTATGAGAAATCTAACAATTTTAAGAAGTGTGAAAACTAAATTGAATTAAAAGAATTCCATTATATATAAAAACCACTGACCATGAGATTCAAAGATGTGGGTTGTGTGTGGTATGAGTGTGGTTTGGAGATGGTATAAGAGCAGTACAGGTATGGGTGATATATAATATGAATAAAAAGTGTGGTCTAAAAATGTGGGAAAAGTGTGGTCTTTAAGTCAACAAACCCAAAAATGTTTACATAAGTTATAACAACAATGTTCAGTTCCACAGCTAGGGCAAATTGAGTTTACTGAGATCTAGCTCAGATATTGATTTAATGAAAATTACCATCCAAGATCCATCATTAAACTTATAATTATTAATCAAATGATTAATTATTATCAAATATTTTTTAATCATTTAAAGCTCTGTAGATAGATAGAATTATCAGTTAAACCTACTTACAAATCCGAAATATGGTTCCCAAGCACAATAATGTACATTACAAATGTTTACCAGAAAGCAAAAATATGTAAGACCTTCCCTGAAAATGATAATAATAGAAGAAAAATACACTTTGACCAGTTCACGAAAAAAGATCACATAATTATGAACATATCTCCCACAAAATGCATTCAACTTGGGTTGTTGCTATAGAACAACCTACTAACAACCTTAGGTATCAACTTAAGATGTGTTTTTCAGAATCTCACAGTTTTCACTAAAACTTCTTTTAATAATCTATCCATATTACTGTAGCTTTAAGGGTGATTAAGTACAAAATATGTCATCAAAAATATACTGATATTAAAGTTAAATAAAAATCACATTGCTGGGTTTCCTCATTCGCATGAATTTAGGGTTTTTGAAAAGATATTTAGGACTCAATTTGTCCAAAAAGCACATTCTGGAATGTGTAATAACAAGTTAACAGACTTAATGAACTATTGTTTTTATAAACATATAAGCAACGTCCTTGATTACAATTATAATCTTATTATTAAAATTAACATTGATATACTCGGTAATTCAAATAAAATCTCAAACTACAGGTTTAACTTTCATTCTCGTGACTCTACAAGTCTTTGATGTCTAAGAAATAATAGAATCATGTCTGGACTATATTTTAATTGATTACATGTATTTGTATCCTTTTAATACAGCAGACACATCCTGTTATTTTCTTATTAGTCTTCTTATTAGTCTTATAATAAGATTAGTCAGTTCAGTCAAAATAAGCTTCCCTTTAGAATAACTAATTTAAAATACTTTGTTTTATATTCATGCAAACTTCTGATCTACCGAAATAGAAAAGTCAAGCATCCATACCTGCCAACCTAAGACCAAAATTCTGCGGTAGATTTTTTTAAAATTGCTGTATTTTTGCGGTAGATTTTTTCAAAATACGGTAGTTTTTGCGGTATTTTTCAACAAAATTGCGGTAGTTTTTGCAGTAGATTTTAGAAAAAAACGGTAGTTTTTGCGGTAGATTTTAAAAAAACGGTAGTTTTTGCGGTAGATTTAAAAAAATACGGTAGTTTTTGCGGTAGATTTTTAAAACATACTGTAGTTTCAGAGGCTTGGGGTAGATTTTTGAAAAAAGTGTAATTTTGTGGTAGAAATTTGAAAAAAGCGGTAGTTTTGCGGAAGATTAAGAAAAAATGCGGTAGTTTTACGGTAGATTTTAAAAATGCGGTAGTTTTTACGGTAGTTTTTCGAAAAACCGGTAGTTTTGCGAAAGATTCTGAAAAAATGCGGTAGTTTTACGGTAGATTTTGAAAAAATGCGGTCGTTTTTACGGTAGTTTTTTGAAAAACCGGTAGTTTTGCGGAAGATTTTGAAAAAATGCGGTAGTTTTACGGTCGATTTTGAAAATTGCGGTAGTTTTTACGGTAATATTTTGAAAAACCGGTACTTTTGCGGAAGATTTTGAAAAAATGCGGTAGTTTTACGGTCGATTTTGAAAATTGCGGTAGTTTTTACGGTAATTTTTTGAAAAACTGGTACTTTTGCGGAAGATTTGCCAAAATGCGGTATTTTTCGGTAGATTTATGAAAAATGCGGTAGTTAAACCTTTATACAATGCGGTTTTCTATATTAATACAATGTTTACGTGGTCATATTGTTTTTGTTATTGTGAATACATATTTTACTGCAAGAGTGCTTTTGATAATTACAGTTTGTAAAGCAGAACTACCACCTGAGAATTATACGAAACTATTATTTTCAAGAAAAAATGAATACTATTTTCAAGAATAAATAGAGACTTAACACTTTTTATTCTTCATTTACCATGCCTACAATGAACTGACAGCAACTTTGGATTTTAATGTTTCAGCAAAATGTACATGTATATGAATACAACTCTTTTACAACTCTTTTACAATAAATCTAGATTGATTCAAAATACGAACACAATATTCATATCTCCACTTTTATTCACCTTCTAACCAGTTTTTTTTAGATATCAGGATGTTTGGAAATACCAATGAAACATTTACTGAAATACAAAATATGGATTTTACACGTTTTTACTCACCATCTTAGATGATCTATCACTTTAACGAATTGAAATGACAGACATAATGTTCATATAACATTGGAATCATATGGTATTAAATATTGATTTGTTCACTCGCAAGTCTCTAATGATATCAATGTGTTTGTCTGGCACAAATAGAAAATAAGGACAGATCAATTGTCTTTCAAAAATAATCTGTTATGAGCATTTGCTGAAACCTTTCCCCTGTGAGACATCGTTCAGATTCGGATACCACAATACTTTTATAATAAACCAAAACTTAATGCTTTATTTTTCAAT